TCTATTGAGTACAGTATTCCTATTTTGCAACTCAAAACAAGCAGAGTATATTTGACAGCAATAATGGAGTGCTCTTATTGACTCCAAAATAAACATATAAGATCACTAGGGAGATCAATTAGATCCTCGAACAAAGATCATGAGGAAGCAACCCAAAGCAGTTTCACAACTTTCTGACTTTGCAACTGCTTACTCATATCACTGATACAGGGTCACCAACTTTCAAGTTCAGTTTTAAACCCCACTTATCTTGAGAAGAATAACTTTTAGAACTGAATATCAAACCGAGCAACCTACAAGATAAATAGGAACAAAAAATCATTAAAGTTCCATAAGATGAAATGGTTATACCATAAAGAGTAAATGAACAGGGGACAGAAGTGAAGCACTCCATCAACAATTAAATAGCGCTAACTTCAGGCAGTGTGCTATTCATGAACAGGCTCAACATGTACACATATGGGCAAGAGAGATAGTAATGACAAACATAATTCATGCAAAAAATAATGTAAAAGTATAGCTACAATTGAGTAATTGCCATAGACAATAAGTTTTTCTTTAATTTTAAGATGAAGAATTTATAGTGACAAAGAAGCAGAAAACAAAAAAATAATAATAATAAGTCAACAAATTATACCAAATTAATTTACACTAGTCCGTTAGTCGTTCATGGGTGACACACACAGCAGATAAGCATAAACAGGAAAATGAACCCAAAGATATATATGGTATGATAGAGTAATAATGTTTTAGACATATTTAGGCAACACGTGAATCATATCTTAAATAAAATTCCATGCATGTGCAATCGAACAAGCATAATTCAATAAGCCTAGTAAATTTAGGTAGATTTCAGCAAGTATTAGTTCATTTCTCCTTGCAACATAGCCAGTTAAAAATTTCAATGGTACCATTTAATATATATTTCAACAACTAATCAAATTTATGAAACCAAAATATAAAACACTGACGAGTGAAAACGTGGTCCGTGCTTCAGAAGAAATTAATCACATAAACTAAGTCATTTTATACTGATCACTTCATAGCACTTAGCAACTTTCATTTGCTTCATAGAAGCAGCAGCAATTAGACAACAGAAAAAGGAGCCAAGGATGCCTTTAACAAATACAACAAACTAATTTCATTAAACATAACAGGTCTCATGCCATAGAGAAACAAAAGTATAGATTGAGCTCGCTTGGAGAAAAATAAATGCATAGCCAGAACTGAACTTGCCAAGATTATTTAGCCCTGTGACATTAATTTTTTAGTTCACAATTGTCGTTTTTGTCAA